CTTCTTCTTCTTCTATGGTTTAATGTGTCTCTACTTCCTGTGATTGGTCCAAAAGTCCAAACGGTCCAAGGGTTTTCACTGAACCAACAGAACCAGGTTCAGTCAGATCCAGACCCAGAACTCCTCCTCTGGTCTGAGGAACGTTCACAGCTGGAGTTCAGCTCCAGAGTCTAACAGAGGAACGAGTCCTGAGAGCTGCTGTGTGTTGTCATCATGTTTCAGAGCATCAGCTGGTTGTATGTTTCACTCTGTCTGATGAAGAGTTGATTATTTCTCTTCTTCCTCGTTTACCTGCAGCACTGGAACCTACTGACACCACAGACTGATGTGTGGCGTTCACTGTCTCCGGTGATGTGGGTGAAAATGTGCTGTGAATGAGTGACGAGGCGTTCAGAGCTACTGTCGTCCATCCATCACACTGTCAGCTCCACTGTGGTTGTTAACGTTGTAACTACACTGTGATGATCAGACATTGTTCAGAGTACAGTCACACTGATCCAGGATCTGTGGTCTGAAAGTATTTTTAGCTCATTAATCGTCAGTTCGCTGGTTTGACGCTGTTAAACCGCCTGTCTGCAAAGTTCACTTCACTCCAGCTGGCAGCGACGCCACTGACATGTGGGACAACTGTACCATGGGAGTGTGTGTGTGTGTGTGTGTGTGTGTGTGGTCGGGACGGGCTCCAGAATAAATATAGACAATCTGCTGATGGAGAAAAGATCTTAATTTAGTTTGGACAGACAGTAAACCTGAAGCTGAGTGAACAAAACAAATTCATTAAAGTGATAGTTCACAGAAAAATGAAAATGATGAATTATAGGAGCGTCGTGTTTTCAAGATGTACGTCCGTCTATCTCACGAACGCCTCGAGGATTCCTTTGGTGCAAACATTCAGTTGGACTCAAAGATGAACTGATGTGAATTTGAAGGTCAAAGGTCAAGGTCCGTGAGTCTCGTGGACGCGATGTCTCAGAAACACCTTCAGGAAATGTCTTCAGATTCAAAGAGTCAGAGGTCAAGGAGTCTGTGACCTCACCAATAGAACAGAACTGCAGGGCAGTAATCCTCGTTGCTAATCCTCGTAATCCCAGTAACTTTACAATTATTGAGTATAATTTCATAAACGCAGCCTTCACATGTGACTAATAACATCCCCTCCCCCTCAGATTCGTTGGACTAAGACTGCGGGCGGAGCCTCGGACCGCCAGGGTGACTCCTCCCTGCACAATGAGACTCTGAGGATAGAAACCATCAGCCGCCACCAGGGGGGGCGCTACTATTGCAAAGCTGAGAACGGACTGGGGTCACCGGCCATCCGCTCCGTACGAGTCGACGTCTACTGTGAGAACACACACACACACACACACACACACACACACACACACACACACACACACAGGTTTGTATTCTGTGTGTGTGTCATGTGACAGCTGGTATCAACTGAAGCCTTCACTTCATAAAAACATTTATCTGCACACACTCAACCATCTTAAGCTGGATCAGCAGTAACACAGTCACCACAATGATTCACAGAGTATCAAGTAACGAGTTCTTCATCCAGTAAAGTAGATTCAGTCTCCGCAGCAGGAGACAAACGTTCTGCTCTGATGACGAAGCGTCTGACTGGTCGGACACGTGCGGCGTCAGGAACGTGGAGAGCAGCCTTTCTACCAGCCGTGTCGATGAGCGGGAATAATGTGAGGTTGGTCTGTCTGCTTGATTCTGGTCCTCAGACCTGGACGACCCGGTGATCACAGTTCATCAGAGTGTCGGTGAGGCGAAGGAGCAGTTCTACTTTGAGAGGACGGTGTTTATTCGCTGCGTGGCCAACTCCAACCCACCGGTTCACTACACCTGGAGGAGGGGCCGCAGTGTGCTGACGCAGGGCTCCGACTCTGGGGTGGAGATCTACGAACCCTTTTTCACACAGGTGAAGAAACACTCAGTTATTTAGGAGCCTCCGTAATCTGCCCGTAAACTTGAGGTGCATGAAAATGTAAACCTCAGTCAGACCTCAGTCAGACCTCAGTCAGACCTCAGTCAGACCTCAGTTAAACCTCAGTCAGACCTCAGTTAAACCTCAGTCAGACCTCAGTCAAACCTCAGTTAAACCTCAGTCAGACCTCAGTTAAACCTCAGTCAAACCTCAGTTAAACCTCAGTTAAACCTCAG